GAGTAACAGGGCTTAATTCTTAAGGAAACCTCATTGGGAAAGACTAAATGGAGTGAAGTGTATAAATGTCAGCTTTGTACAGAGCTATCCTGGAAATAATTTCCTGTTGGGTTGTTTTGGAGCCAATTTCGAACTCCAAACAAAGGACCAAATCTAGCTGGCCTGGTGGTGCACTCCTGTAATTCCAGTGGCTCAGGAGGCAGGAAGGAGGATCGCAAGTTCAAGGCCAGGATCATTCTCTGCTTGGAGACAATTCACTTTGCTTTTACTTTACTTTCAAGTTACTTTCACTTATAATAAAGTTTTCTTGCATAGCAAAAAAATGAAAATATAATAAACAAACAAACAAATAAATAAAGTTAGAGGCCAGCCTCAGCAACTTAGTGTGGCCCCAAGCAACTTAATGAGACCCTATTATATTTTTCAAAATAAAAAGGGCTGGGGATGTAGTTCAGTGGTTAAGCATTCCCTGGGTTCAATCTCTGGTACCAAAACAAAACAAAACAAAACAAAACAAATCTCATCCATTCCTTGCCCTGGAGATAGAGTTTTAGAGCTTTTGTCAGGGGAGTGGTAATGTCTTACCAATAACAATTGAGAAGAGCAATAGGCTGGGAAACAGTTTTGTCAAGTTAGTGTGACTTTATTTCATCCAATTATCAGTTTATCAGATCACATGCAATTTGTAGAAATAGTCCCTGCTTTTTTCACCTTCCTGTTCCTTTTCTTCACTTTATTCCCCTAAAATTTCAAAATCTAAAGATCACTAGACAGATATTCCAACTGTTTACCTGTGGACCTAGACATTTTCTTTTGGTCTAAAGCAGTGTCTCATGGACATTCTTTCCCTTCCAGTAACAAATTATGGAATATGGAATCATATTCACATCATATGGAATCATTTGTAGGTAAATAATTGTAAGTTACACAATTCAAGTAATCTGTTCTTAAACTGCCTCAGGGATGGATATTGAATGTGTACAAGGAGGAAAGATGCTAGTGCATGGATAGAATGAGGAAAATAATTTTGATTTCAGTGCAAAGTCCTGTGTCCTGAACATGCACGGTGGGTTTGGGGCTCTGCAAGAGACTGTGTGGCTTGTATGGGGTGAGCCACAAATAGACTAGTTAGCCAGGTAATGTATGGCTTTATAACTTTGAATTTTACTCAGTATTCAATGATAAATCTTTTAAGTGTTTGGGAAGAAGAATGGTACTATCTGATTTATATTTTTAAAAAAATCATCTGACTACTGTATTTTTTTTTTTAAATTTTACTTGTAGTTGGACATGATACCTTTATTTTATTTAATGTGGTGCTGAGGATCGAACCCAGGGCTTTGCATGTGCTAGACAAGCACTCTACCACTGAGCCACAATTCCAGCCCATGACTACTGTATGAAACTGCTGCTTCTTTGAGACAAAGGGGTGAGTCAAGAGATTGTTGCAGGGCTGGGGATGTGGCTCAAGCGGTAACGCGCACGCCTGACATGCGGGGCATGCTGGGTTTGATCCTCAGCACCACATAAAAAAAAAATTTAAAAATTGCAAGAATAAAGGGATGAATTGGCTTGAACTAGCATAGTAGCAGATGAAATGGATTTACAAATCCAGAATTCAGGATGGAGATTTGGGCTGTTGATGTAAATGTGGGCATTGTCAATGTATGTGTGGTATTCAAAATCATGATTGTAGATGAAACTACTAAGAGTGCAAATGACTGACTGTAGAGAAATCAAGAGATCTGAAGCCTGAGTCTTAGAATTGGTAAGAAACTGGCAAAGGAGAATGATGAGTAACCAATGAGGTAGAAAGATAAACAGGAGAGTTTGGTACTGTGGATGCTAAGGGAAGAAAACATTTTCAAGATCAGCTAAGTTAAATTCTGCTGATAGGTCAAATATCATGAGGACCAAGAATTAGACACTCAAGCTTGGTAGGTCCTTGTAGTCTTAGATCATATTGTAGGTTTATAAGGTGGTCTTGTTTCTAGTCTCATTAGTATTATATCTGAAAAATAATGCTGTTTTTTTTTTAATCTGAAGAATTTCTAATACTTTGAAGAGATATACCTTCTTTTGTTGGTATGTAATGCATTGCTCAGTGGGTCATTTATCTTTGTGCTTTAGTGAGGATGTGGGACACATAATGTTAAGGAACATGTTCTAGTCTCAGGGGAGAGTCTAACACCACCTGAGAAGCACTCATCAAGCCAAGTGCCACTTGTTGTCACTTTTGTTTTCATTCTTTGGACATTGCCTTCAAACAGGGTTCAGGTATAGGTAAAGCCAGAGAAGATAGATAACACGTAATTACACTGAAATAAAAAATGACTGTGCATCAAAATACACTGTAACCAAGGTCATTAGGCTAGAAGATATTTGCATGCTAACAAAGAATCCAGAGAGATTAAAAGTAGTTAGAAAGACTAGCGTTAGCCAATCTAACAGTATTCATTTTTAAAAATATCTATTTTAGTTGTTGATGGACCT